ATCTCTTTGAAACTGTACAAAAAACACACCGAGGTAGGTACATAATATAACGTTGTGTACACATTATATTATACGACGTTGTAATAATGCTCACAGACCTACTTTATGGTGTATCATATTGTAATAACACTGAAAACATCCGGCGTAAACGTGTTAGAAAAACGATTTTTAACGAGGGAGCCGCCGTTGCATAGGAATTATTATTTCGCATTAAAATACTCGGCTAAATATGCTCACATTACCCACGGCACACTAGGCTGGATATATTATTAAACAAAGCATGCTTAGCAATGAGCAATGTATAATACACTCTGCACTCTGCAGGTTCTATGTTGAGAGGAAGGGATTTTTGGTAGCGCTAAAAAGGTGGATTTCTTTTCAATAGTATTTCACTACTTTATATCAAACTAACGGGGACGATTATGGCTATTAGTTACTGACCAATATTATCGTATGAATATATTATTTTTAAGTGTGTTGATTTTTACTTAGTTTTTTATTCAATAAGCGGATAATAAGGAATTGATATTGAGGACGAGGCATCATAACATTGTTCATCAGATGAAAAATTTGTTTAGGCGGCCCTTCTTAATCCTTTACATAAATGTATTTCGTATGTCTTTCGCCCCGCACTTGTCGAGAGAGGTTTGTGCAAATACTTTGTATTACTTCAGCAGCGATCGTTGAAGAGCGATACAGTTTTTATTCGCTTTGTGCGCGCATTTCTCTGACACCAACGATGATACTTGGCCTCTGGGTTCGCACTCTTTTGCCCCTCTCCCGCCGAAGCCACCGCCACTCGTCTCCTCCGACCGATTGTAAACTCTTCGGATCATCACACCCGTGTCTTTCTAGAGACCTCTTCCGACCTTCTACTCGTTATAATAATAATATGTTGGGCTATACGGCGATTATACTTTCGTTAGAAGATTTCGGCTGTCAGCGAACTGTATTGTAAGCGAACTGTGTACCTACCTAAACGTAAATTATAGGCCCCGTCTCTTATCGTAGCGTCGGTGTCGCCGTCATCGTCTGGATCTCGTTCGCCGTTATTATATTATATTTGTCGAGTAGACAGTAAAACGCTATGACGCTGTCGTATTATATTATGACGATTATATTATTTTTGTTCGTTATTATCTTGCATAAATCACTTTTCCTGTACAACCTATACAAACACGTAAAAATAATAAATAACTTTGTCTTTGTTCAAGTTTTAATTTTGTTTTTTTGTTGTTTTTAAAATCGGGTTATTTTATAGTATGAAAACGCGAGCGCGATGAAAAAAAGTTGTATACACAAATCAAATGCAATGAATGAAAAAAATCGTTTACCTTCGCACGCCTTCTCTTATAAACATCGGGTATTTAATTTTTTTTTCGTTCGACTAAAACGTATGACGCATATACCGTAAGAGCCCTTTGTTTACACACACGGACACACACGTGTGGAATTAAAAAAGAGTCGACTTCCACTCGAAAACGAATTGCATGTGCATATTATATACATCGAAAGCGCGCAAGATCATTATATCGTATGAATAGACCGTGTACATGTTAAGGTGCGTTGTTCGTAGTGTGAATAGTTCTTTAATATTATGTGAGTGTGTGTAAAACATCTACGCACAGGGTTTAGTCTCGAGGAGAAAAAATAAATAACAGTTCGAACCGGGAAGACAGTTTTGTAAATAGACCCATATAAACGTAATCGTCACAGTTTACGGGACAATCTGTCGTCTGTCGGCTTGCGCTTTGTCCTGTGGACCTACGCATCTTCGACTAAATACTGTCAATACATTTTGTTGGTCGACTTAATCTCTCGTCAGCCGAATTGATTTTCGTCATATACGACCAAACTGCAACGGGACTGAAGAGTGGCGTCAATTGCCGTCCGACGAAAGCCGATTTGTTGGACAAACGGTGTATTGGCTGTAGTAGCTATAAGGCGCTGCAAGTTTAAATTCTGTAATCGTACAACATAGGACTTATTCTATAATTTTAAAGGTATATTTTATCGTAGCGTGTATAATAGTAAACAGACGGTTAGTCACCGCCAGAGATCGAGTTTAAAAGCGTTTAGCCCCAGACAAATATTAAGATAGATATATAGAATACATTTGGAGTTAGCCATAATTTGATTATTGGACATTTGGTTTTATACAGCTATCTAAAATCGCCAGTTCAGAATTGAATGTTATAAATTATAATAAACATTTAGAATTGAAGTTTAACTCATGTATTATCGGTCCATCTACTAGAAGTCCCAGTTCTAAAATCTTTATTATATTTGTGCATTTTTAAAACATTTTGTTTTTGACTTAAATCATAACATTGTGAGTTATTTTTAACTCTTTATCATCTATAATTATTTTGCATGAACTTTTTGAATTGTATTTATTTTCGAGTAAGAAAAAATATTTTTTTAATTAAATCATAAAAACCTATATTGATACGAGTATAATAAACTAACATTGAATTATTCTTCAAACTTTTAACTATCATCTTGCTATTTAAATGTTACTAAAGAAATTAATGGAAATAATGATTTAAAAATCCGGAGACCAATGTCCTAGGATCAATATACGCTGGAGACCAAATATCCTATTTCAATATTTACATGGGACGAAACATTCTAGATCTGTGTACAAATGTTCAATATAATGTAATATAACGCACATTGTGGTGGCAACTCGTGTACTGCATCGGATTGTTGTCGAGGATGATATTCGGCTACAGCTTTTATTGCCAGTTATAAATTTTCTAGTAAAATTATTTACCTACTCCGGAAAATTGCTCTTGAATCATTAATTCAGTCGAACTCATGCACTGTAGAAACGAGTTTGTAAACATTAATAAAGAGTGTTATCGACTCGGCCGTGGCCAGTTGTGTTGATAACGTTGTTGCCATGGCCACGCCGTCCGTCGTGGCGCCCTACCTCGCCTCCCCCCCCCCCCAAGACTACACCGTCGAGGCCACACCGCCAGCAAAGCTCCACTACACTATATTATTATATTAAACTACCTACCTGCTCCACATCACCTCCACTCCCTTCGTTGTCGTTGTCGTCAATTTTTAGTCGTCTACCTGTGCGTGTAGTGGTGGCGCCTGAAAGGGCTGCGTGGTACATATTATATACTTATAAAGATTCCACCCGACCGACAGCCCTCTTGCAGTCCTGCACCACCTCGCCGCTATCACACACCCGACCTATGGGTATAATCCATTTACAGCAATTGTCAATTCTGTATACGCTCGAATAAAAAGAAAAACATACAACAACTATAAAACAGTATGTTATAGTTATAAGCTCAAAGCTGGAGTTAAATTATGTTAGTATTATTAGGACCCAATGAAAAGTGACATCTCCAGCCGCTCTTTCTGCTTTGACACGACTGCGCAGTAAACGGGTCATATTAAAACGTATTTTTTCATTAAAATAACGCACTGCGATATATCGCTCATGTAGATAATCATCGTAGGTTTTACATAGGTAATATTATAATCATATAATTACTGTAACAAAACTTTCAATAATTTTCAGAGTAATTTCCATTTTTACGTCTGTATTACAAGCATTATTTGATGTTGGCACGAATTTTTGTATGTCCTTTAACGTATTATTAATGATAGATGTTACTATTAAATCAATTTAATTTGGTTTTAAATATTATATTATATAAGAATTTCTTCAAAGAAACGCTATAATATTATTAGGATATTAAAAGTTTTTAAAGTTAAAATATTGACAAATAAATATTGAGCTTATTGAATTGTATATAATACGAGTAGTTTTAAGGCACAAACAATTTTTTGTCTGATTCCACTATTTATAGTAAATATATTATATACACACTATACTTCAAATTAATGAGTGTTATTGGCTAATGGCTATTGCCATTGTACACCATTAACCTCATACATTTTATTAGTAGAACTCAAGTTTATTTAAAAAAAACTTTTTAAAGGTTTTATAGTAAATTCGTTTGAAAATTGAATATTCCATCTGTACCCAGGAGACCGAATTTGTATATAATATATCTCGATGTGTACATATAAAAATGTATTTATATTCTCTGTTAGTTGTAACTTTTTACGCCTCAACCATGGTGTGGCACACTGGCACATACATCTATCGAACTAGACCCTTCCCCGCCTAGTATTTAAACATCCCCAGGGCCTCTTCTTTTTCCTCTTTCCGATGGCTCTTAAAAAAACCCCGTGCCCTTAGAGAAGCACTCTTCTCGTCCACGACGTGTATATACATATGCGTACGTGCGAAGGGGGTATATTTGCTGTATTATTTTTTTTTGTTACTCCCTCAGTCGAGTGTTTCTCTGTCCCGTCAGACCTTTCGGTGGATCGAAAAGTCACGAAACTACCACCCCGTGCTTCACCAGCGTGACACGGTGATGACCTTTAAAAAACAAAGAGAACCAAAGCACGACCCAGGGGGTTTTCTTTTGTTCTCTATGAAATGCACTTTATATACAGGGTGGAGTTTGCTGACATAAAAACAACAAATGTATAACGTACAACTACATTTACAGAAGCTTTCCGAATATAAATATTATTATTAATTACTGTAGTTGTTCGTATGAACATTTTAAAAAAATATATTTTTTTTGGCAAATGCTACTTTGTTAATTTAATTGACATTTCGTACGAAATGTGTACCACAAAAAATACACTTTTTGTCAATGTATTGTATCCTATATATATATTTATAATTCCATATACTCTGTGTTTGTGTGTGTATACGAAAGTCCTCGCGTAGGTACGGAAATCCAAATTGTATTTAACTTAATGGAAAAGCGCCGTCGGGAAAATAGGAAATTACAATTGTCACGCACACGCTGTAGTGGACACGCAAGGGCGGTTCCTCGATGGTGGTTTAAATATGAAGGGAGCAAAACTGCTCGACGAAAATTTTAGCTAGTTATATGACTATTGTTTTACTATTGCCACAATCTAACGAATTTGTTGATTTTTTTTGTCCATAGGTGAGAACGTTATTTGTCAGTGGTCTACCAATGGACGCCAAGCCACGTGAACTATACTTGCTGTTTCGAGCATATGAGGTAATATAAAAACGTATATGATTTACTGTAAAACGTTGAACAATAATATTATGTATTAAAACCACATACGAAACAATATCTTTGAGGTCAGACGGTACGCGTATTGTGTTGTCAAAATCTAATTTACGCCAATAACGCTGTCGGTCTCGGATCATGAATAAATAAACCTAGTTTCCTAGTTTATAGTTTATAGAATTTAAGAATCGTGCACTGTACTGTAACACTGGAAATGTATATATTTATATAAATATATGTTTACACACATAATGTGACAGTGTGTATAAAAGATATAATATTATTTACTATATACCTATATTTTTTTATTAATGTGATTGGATATTATATTGAGTTAGTTTTAGTATTTGTTCATATTAACGAAGAGGTCAAAAAATATATAACACGTGTCACAATCAAAATTATTTATCGATACCGTAATAAATAATTGAGGTATAATATAGGTAATACTAATATAATACAATATGTGCATTGCACATGCAAATAATGCATTATAAATCTGATGGAATGATTGTTAAAAAACAAGGGTCGATCAAATTGATTTCTATATAAATTGACAGGATAAACTTTTTTAGATAATATTTCGTTATGCTCAGTCCATCCGCCGAAAAAAAAGTCTGCAGATTTAGAAAAATTTTCATCATTAAAATACATGAACCGACTATCGCATATTATGTAGCTTATTACTGAAAGAGGTGGTGAGGAAAAACTTTACATATTAAACTTTATAATATGCAACATGTAACACAAGGTTTGTGCAGTTGAACATTAGGTATAATTTCATTGGAAAATGTAAAATATCCATAATACACTATATGAGAAGTATTTTTATTTAGTGGAGGAGTATACAACCAACAAAATGTCACGAGGCATGAAAGTAGAAACTGACAGGATGTAGCTATCTACAATACTATTTAGTTGTTTTTCAAGTTTACGACATTTTTTTTTAATTTCCTTAAATTACTTATGTTTATTACAACACTTTCCGGTTCTGTGTAGTTAATTTCATTTGAAAACATGCAAAACACACACACACATACGACATACACGATAATCTAAAATTCCCATTGATTTAATCGTTATATTTCACGAAATGTGCCTATGTACCCACTCCCTACACCATATAATTAGTTTTGAAAATTTGATTTAACTTTACCCCGAAAATAATGTTATAACTTATAGTTTCAAAAACTCTCGGCAAACTGCTAAATATACGTAATATCATAAGAGGGCGTGTATTGGAATTTAAACAAGCCGTAGTTCAATTAATATTGCAATGTCATGTACAATATTTTAGTCGTTTTTGCTAGGCTATAAGTGTAATGCTCACCCAAACATATTTTATGTTTACAACAGCAATCCAAACAGCCACGATACCATTGTATAGTATTTAAAAGAAAGTCTCCTTACACAATCTTCGTATAATATTTGCAAGTCTATATATCTGGTAGAGTAGAGGATGTCGATTAAGACTGAACACCCTCAAAGCTTAAAAAAAAACAATAACTCATTTTGAAATATCATTCTGGTAACAATAATAAAATAAAAGATTTCACCCTAACCATTTATTATTTACTCAAAAATGAATGTTAACATTTAAATATTATGTAAATTTAAAATGTTAAACGTTGCAGCTCGTTTATAATATACGCGGTTCACTTTGTATATCTACCGATGAAATAAAAGGGGAAAAAATACTTTAATTATATGAAGTGTTAATATATATTTATAAAAATGTTTGATAAAAGATACTACCTACCTAAAATTATGGATTTATAAATGTTCACTTAAAGATTGCTCGGTAAATTTACTGCTTTGATGCCAAAAGAATTAGGAAATGATCCCTCAAATCAAATAATAGCTAGATAAGTCTGATTTTAATTAAAAATAATTAAAATATAGCAATATAATGGTTGATTTAAAACGCGAAGTTGTAAATAAAGATTAACTCGTAGAATACATGGTAAATTATGTATTTCGGCTATACATTCGATTTTCAAAACTGTAATGTATTATTATTTTATTTGTCATATAAAATTGACCTTACATAGGTACCTAAAATCAATATCAACTATCAAGTATTAACATTTCCACTTCCTTATTGAATTTTACACTGCAACATATCTTTATCACATAAATTTGACTTTAATCATTATGTTTTATTTTTAGATACTTAGACCTAATATTTATAGATACAAAGTATCAAACCAACCTACGAAGCTTACAAAGCTTAATACATTGGCAATTTACATAGAGTAGTCATCCAATTATGAAAGAGGGGAAGTTTGTTTCTGTGGGAGGTCACAAATGTGGTAAACGTAGGCTAACGTACATTCGTCTAAGTAAATTACTGGGAAAAATATTGGTTAACTTTACGTCATTAAAAATTGTTTATCATATAATAGTTCAATATTTTTTTAGAAAATAAATTTGCTTATAAGTTGTCTGCATGGTCTGCATGTATAGAAATGGCCGTTGATGGATTGAAAAAAAATTGTCTGATCCCCGAAAAATGTTACGCCACAGCAGGGTGGACATATAATATTATATCGTTTGCATATAAAATATTATAATCTAATATAGCATAACCGATGTGGAATAATAATTTTACGACGGCGTCGATCGGTCGGCGAAACTTCTATTATAGAATATAATATATTGTAATACGCGGGGTGCCTACCCACGGGCCACGACACGGGGCGACTTATTATTACGAGCCGTGTCTAGGCAACGGGCGAACTACACACCGATGTAATAATGATTTGAATTCGCGTGCAGAACCGTACTACAACCTGGCGCGCGTGTGTAATAAATATTACGCAGTTATGTTTTTATAGACTGTACGTGGTTACCCTTTGGCCCTCGACGGGTGGGTACCCACACCTACTTATTTCGGGCAGGTTGAAACACAATAATAATAAAAATAATCAGAGTCGTAAAACCCGTGAGCGGCGGTTTCCGCGTGATCGATATTCGATTCCGGGCTCGTAAGACATGGATATAGACACACCATTAAAACAACGTCCGCGGCAATTCCCCATGCGAGAGCAGTCGCTTTTCGAATTTGTTTGTCGTGGACCATTTTTAAAAACGATTTTTGTAACGCACCAGAAAAACCTGTCGGCGGTGGTGTTAACACACAGCTGGATTTACAACTCGTGTCGTGTAATCTCCGTTCGTGATTAAAAAACAAAACAAAACACTAATGCTTTTATGCTCAACCAATAGCCATCCAGATCACGCAATATTGATAATCCGACGGAACGACCGTGTTTCACCAGTCGTCACCGCGAACAATTTGTATACCTACCTACAATGTAATACATTAATAATACGTCCTTTAAAACGTACACAGTCCCAAAAATTCGATTCGCTGATCCTGACTGATTATTGTGTTTGTGTAAAAATACACGGTTTTATACGATATTGATGAGTCCTCTTTCCTGTCTTTCCCACCCTTTTGAATAATATCATTAGTTTTTTGAAAAATGTACATGGTATCAATGGCGTAACTACATATATATATATATTATATTATAATACTATACAATTACACTTCAAATATATTCAAACTCCCACACTTGGCTTTTTACCGATTGACACCGACTGCTCGCTCTTCGATTGGTGTACGCGGTAAGACACTCAACGAGTCGTTATAGGTTCTCGATATGCGTTGCATTATTTCTCTGACTAGTCTTAAACAATTAATTAAATTTCTTTCTGGTTTTATAGCTTTCGAGTTATCGTTCTATTGTTGTATTAGGTGACACATAAAGTCGGCACGAGACTGTTTTATCGGAGCCAAATTACATTATTACTATCCGCAGAAATTAGTATTTAAAATAATAAAAAATGAAATTACTAAACATATTATGTTCGCCGTGTTGAGATAACTGGTTTCTTGTCAGAAGTCATAAAACAGTGTCTGGTTGCTTTTCTGTAGTGATGAAACGCATTCGCTCTGGGCTCTCTAGCACGAATTCAACACTTTTCTCGGTAGTCGGAACTTAAGTTTACAACTACAATATGCAAATGCTACTGTAGATAGGGTTTTAACGATTACGATGTATAAATAATAATGATATAATGTCTATGGAAGTAGAGAGGGAGAGAGAGAGAACATTTAGTATAAAATAAAGTATAAACTTGGATACAACGTTCTCGGATGATGCTATATATTTTTATAATAAATAAAGCACTGCACCTTCAGATCGTATAATAATATCATTCATGGCACGCCGACACTGATGTTCGTTTTTTCCTCTATATACGACAGTGTGAAATCGACATTCGTGGCGTATGATAAATATAAAAACTCGTTCATATTCGATCCGTTTTCGAAATCCTCTGTGAATTCAATAGTAATGACTTGCCACAATCGTTAATGCGATTCTTATCAACAACGACAACAACCACGATTCCAATTTGTACCACAAATGTACCCTCTCGTAACAAAAATTTACGGTTCATCGGTTTTATTCTCGACAACGGTTTATTGCTGTTACGAGAGGGTACATTTGTTATCTGATATTACTGTCGTTACATAATATACTAATATTATGTGTTTTATTTATTCATTTTTTTATTTTTTTAGGGTTACGAAGGATCTCTATTAAAAGTTACAAGCAAAAATGGCAAAACAGCTTCGGTAAGCTCAAATAACTGACCAAATAAAAGTCTTTAGATCGTAGTTGAAACGCTGTCATAATATTATATATTTGACTTTTCATTGTTTTTTCAGCCAGTAGGTTTTGTGACGTTCCAGACACGCGCTGGCGCCGAGGCCGCCAAACAAGACCTTCAGGTGCGTTTTATATTATATATAAATAATACATAATATGAACTATATTCAACCTAATGTTATTTGTATTATTATTATTATATTATATTATTTCCCCGTGATAAACTCTTTTTAGACTTTGATCGAAACTTCATCCCCCAAACGTGACGAGAGTTTCTAAACAACGTGGCATTACAAAACTTTATACTTCGTGATGTACCTATATAATATGTGTGTAAGTGTGCGTACGATACAATATCATACGAGTTTAACGTCAAACATGCCATCATATACGTATACTATATAGTATTACGCTTATCACTGGCATTTAAAATATATATATATATATATATATAAAAGCAGTAGCCGTACGCACACGTATAATACGATATATTATATAATATGATATATTGTATTAAAACTATTATTATTATGGGAGACGTATACCGTTGTATTTTACAAAGTATACCGTCGTCACGCTAATTCAGCCCCTCCCCTAAAGTTGACTTCACGACATTTTCCAGCGTACATTAAGCAAGAGAGTTTATGACCCGGAAACGTAATAGACATATTAAACCGTAGACGTATAAAATCACTTGGTTTACCGTGTACGGCCCGTGAATAAGCGCAGAGGTTGATGTTTCCTACGCCACGTGTTTTTTTTTTTTAAATTCGTTTTCCAAAAAAATTACAAATAAAGCGTAACACGCCAGTTCTATACGTCTGTTCAACGCTTAATTAACTGTACATATTATGTATTACCACCTACGCACGTTGTATAATATTGACTCTAAAATAGAACGAGATCTATGACTTATGACGGAGTTGTGTTCAACGTTCGTTTTTACCGTTATTATAATTATTAAATTATAATGCTTATATTATTATAAACCAACAAAAATTATTATTATTGTATGCACTTAAGCGTTGCGACCTTTTGCCGAGCGGCCTTAGTGAACCGATATATAATCGGCAAGTAGTTTTATATGTCTACGGGCCAAGACTTACATTTAGATTATGTTAAAACGATAACCACAGACGGGTAGTTTCCGTAGTGAAATAAAGCACGAATACGACGAGCTCACATTTATTAGAAAATGCTGTCTCGTATTATACCACGCGTAGTGATATCATACGTATAATATTGGCACGACGGGCGAAGAAAGATTTAAAAAAAAAAAAATCACCAACTTCGCGTGTCGCGTCTAGACTCGCACCCCAACCCCTCTCCCGCCACAACCCAAATCGTAGTCGTACTTGACCGGAAACTGCCCGCTCTGATTTCCGACACGGGATGGTAGCACTGTATTGTTGTGTGTTTGGTTTCGGCAGCAGGGCGTCCGGTTCGATCCCGACATGCCGCAAACCATACGGCTAGAATTCGCTAAAAGCAACACGAAGGTTAGCAAGCCAAAACAGCCCGCCAACGCAAACGTCACGCCCAACACGCACCAAGGCCTGATGCACCCGCTCACCGGACGTAAGTACCTGCATACCTCGTCTACTTCCCGGGCACCGACCCATCCCTTTCCACGATTACTAGTTTATTATATTATCATATTATGCTAGGGGGTGTGAACGCTAGAAAACCAACCAACTGTTCCCGATAAAGACCGACAGGGAGAAAAATCTATAGGGCCAAAAGATTGATAGGAGATATTATACAGACATTAGCGGTAGCCGGTGGCGTACCTCTGTCGGCCGAGGGACGGCCTTTTCGTAGTACACCATATTTTTTAGTTAAATTCAGTCCATGGCCTTAAAAAATTATGTATATGGACACATATTGCCGTCAACTCTTATCACTTTATGCGATTTGGCTGCTCAGAGAAGACTCAAGTTTTTACTTTTTGCAACTAATCAATAATTGCAAAAGCACCTCGTATAAAATAAAATACTATAATATGAGTAAAAATCAATGAATACACTTATTGCTAAATAAAATTTATTAAAAATTAAAAAATATTAAAATACAACCTACATTATGATTACTAGTATCACGCTTAGAAACTTTTGAACATAAATTAATATAATCTGGTATAACTGCAGAAATAAGTTTAGATATTAATCAAAGTATAAATTGTTATATTATTTTATTGTTGTCACGCAGATAAAAAATAGGCGATGAGGATATTCTCCTTGAACATCGTTGGGCAACTTTATCTTCAAATCGGACACAATCTAGTACTGTATATATAGTGCATAGATCTATCTGTACCATCCGACTTTCGATCGCCATTGCGCCACTTTCGCCACTCTTCACCACACCCCCTCACAAATACCACCCTCGTACCCTTGATTTCCGACACACTTATGATCCATCGTTGTAATATATTCGTGTTTGTTTTTCTTTTTCACCGTCTAGATTTAGGCGCCCCGTTCTTCACAGGCGCTCCGGCAGAGTTATGGCATCATCCATTGGCGTACGCTGATATGCCAACTGCAGCCACGGCCACGGCTCTACAACACGCAGCTCTTGTCCACCCGGGACTACATCCACATCCTCAACAGGTAGTGTGTGAAATATAAATTTATGAATTAATTTTTATTTTAAAACAATGCCTCTACCATATAATATTGTGACGATATTATACCGACGCTTATGCAAGCTTGTCATATTATTATAATTATATTTCTGTGTACTATGTAGACGACGTGGTCGTTCTTTGTTTCAACTTAGTAACTACCTATATAGCTTCGCTTCTAAGTACGTCGAAAACGCTGCATTATATTTGGTGTAAATCTACATTTTATAAGTACAGATGTCGAAACATATCGGATACCTACACATTATTTATACACTGTATAAATGCGAATCATGTCTTGTCGCATGATATATCATCATGGTATACTGGTATGTGTTCTCACAAAACAATATTTACCAATTTAACATGCAATGAAAAAGTCGACAATTCTAAAAATTACATTTTATCGTTTTTTTTTTTTTTTTGTTAAATTTGTTTTGATCTTGTTACGACTTTGGAAATTGAGTTTTCCCGAGCTTTTATTTTTTAATGGGTTTATGAAATATTAACATATAAATACATTTTCGTTACATTTTGGATGTCCAGTCGTTGCCTGCATATAAAGTACATGAAAAATATAAGACATACTAAAGTTAAGGTTACAAAATTAAAACATTGCTATTCGCTCAGCTCAGCTTTTTTTAATCATTCTTATAGTATTCCATTTGTTTTAAACGTCTGAATAAATCTAAAAAATAAACCATTTCATTACTATTATTTTCATTATCATATTATTGTTATTTAGAGCCCAAATTAAATGTGTCTACAACTTGTTTCTTTCGGATTTCTCGGCAAATTTGAATGTGGTATGTGGTGGTCAAGGAGTAAAATGAGTAACAACTAAAAAATATATACATTTTTCACTCACGGACCATGATCATTAATTGTTGCAATGTACACTTATTACAATGCGTATATTATAATACTCGTAATAATGTTCTGTAAATATTTTTTCTTTTTTCTTTCGTTGATGTTGAGGTAATAATACTGTTCTCGGTGTTGGGCAAAAGATAAAAGAAATTATAATATGACTAACTGATAATTAAATTTAATAAAGATTACATCTATACAAATTAAAACTTTAAAAATAAGATGATTTATTATTAAAGTTGCAGATTTTAGCTAAATATATTGACAGTGTAAAAATTATAGTTAGTGAAATGAATCATATTTCATTATGAAAATTTAATTACTTACTGATTAGTTGCGTTTAATTGTACTATATTATTAATTATAATACAATTTATTTCAAATTATCATTATACTACAATCGACCCAAATAGGCATTGATCAATTAAATGATTGCATATAATATATTTATTGAAATGTATGAATTTATAATCCTTATGGACTTAAACTATCCAGTACTTATCCATAAAGTTTTTTGGCCGCATCTATCCGTAGCCAGATATAAGTGAACTGATGCAATATAATTATTTATATAGCCTATTATACATTACAATTTGTTAGCCACATATTTACGAATGGAAATAATTTATAATATACTACCTTGACCTTCACAATAAAACTACACCGAGCCCGAAAAGTTTGCACTGCGTCTTCGGCCGAATAGCGTATTCATCGAATTCTTTGGCGGATACATCGGGCTTGTAGTTTCGTACGCTCAACGTTATAGGTAGCTTTAGTATAGATAGTTAGTATTTATCGCGGACACGGTTGCACTGCACTTTGGCGAAAATGTCTTGCCCGTGGCTGCCAGCGAATTGGCTGTTTAAAGTCGGGGACGTCTTGTTCCGGTCTCTACCGGGGCCACCGACCGGAAAGACTGCCATCTGCTCGTCTGCACCATTTCACCAGGACCTGCCTTCAGCGGCAGTAGGTAAACACCTCTACCGGGAAGACGCGGGAACATATTATGCTGCGGCGACTGTAGACGCACCACGCGTTATGTTATTGCTTTGCACATTTTGTTCTTCCACCGCCGCCGTGTCCGAGACCACAATATTGTATAAAAATTTCATTTTATGATGATTTATTAGTTGTTGTTGTGTGCGTGTAGTGTAGTGTTTTATTATAATCGCGCGCGCTACATTTGACGGCATAGCTGTATAGTTTAGTCATAGTATAATATAATATATAGTCACGTGTGCGCGTGCGATGGAAAAATAATAATCAGAAAAAAAGGAATGAAACGAACGAGAGAAGATTTAATATAGATATTTGCGTAGCTTGCGGTGAAGGTACTATGCGTAATAAAATCATATTAGGATTGGCTCGTTTTCAGCCGACGTTGACGCTGGGCCCACACGGCCTTCCGTTCCTGCCCTCCCCCGCACTGCCCTCGCCGCCCAACCAGCAGCAGCCCCAGCCGCCCTGTTCCACGCTGTTCGTCGCCAACCTCGGGCAGTTCGTGTCCGACCACGAGCTTAAAGACATTTTCGCCAGGTCAGTAGTCAGAAAAAAAAAACAAAAAACACAACAAAACCAAACCGTAAACAACAACAATAACATTATATTAATATATTATCTGTGATAACCTACGAGTACGTTTTTGTTTTGTCAGTGTGTTGTGTGTGTAAGACGTCAAAGCGCGACTATAATGTAGATAACAACGGTCTCGAAGATTTGAGCTTATATTTTGATTTTTCCATGTTCTTGTAAAAGTATATTAATTATATACGCACGGGGTCACTCACACTATATTATGATGTATAAAATAAATTATGTACCTACCAATGTAAAAAATGTATAAAATATCTTGAATACATTTCTCATAGTACGAAAAAATGTATTTGACATATTTTTCTAAGCACTTACAGCATCTATACGAGACGGCTTGTATAGTTTCCGGTATAAAAATATTATATACGTTTGGAAAACTACAATATGCAATGAGTAATGACTATGATATTAAACCTATGTGTACGCGACTTTGCTGTTTGTCTTTCAACAACATGAGAGACGTGTTATTTTGTGATCGCTTTGGATTTGCACACAGCTGACGTGACGTTTATAATCGGCGCACGGCGAGCTCAACTCGAAATTTACAATCACGATATAAAATTATAATTGTTCGTATTATCACTGTGATTCGCACATGGGTGAGATAAACTTCTTCGGAACCGGTGTTATCTACTATATACAGGATGATTCACCAAGCATGCTCGCCCCCCCCCTCATATTTTCCTTCAATAATATTTATTCAAATTCTAATTTTTGGAATTTTTAAATATTATACTATTATATTATAATTTTTTTAATTCTTGAATGTTTTTGTACCACCTAAAGAGTGTCATGACGTGGCATTACAAACTTTGGTTTTTTAAATGAGATCCCTCCCCCCCTTTTTACAGTAAATTATTTATTGGGATTTTTAAAATTTTGATGTACCTATTTCAAAATTCAAATGAGTAGTTTATTATTAATTATTAAAATGTTTGTACTAAAGATAATAAGATAATAGTCCTTAAAAATGGTTTTACAAAAACATAAAATAGATTTAATAATGACTAAAAACTAGTTTTTATTATACATGAACAATTTTTCCAAATTATTTATATTGATGGCTATTATTAAAGACTAAAATTTGCAAATCACTATATACCCCCAGTCTCATAAATCTATTACGATGGACTTTTTATCCTCATAAAAAACAAAGTTAAATAATTTAAAAACTACAAGTTCGAATATTTATTCTGATACTTTTAATTTTTTAAATTCAGAAAAATCATCCTCTGGATAAATTACAGTTAAAGGGGGGGAGGGGAGGGAGGTTCTTAATTTAAAATTAGAAGTTTGTATCTCCACAGGACATTCCTTACGTAGTACAAAAAAATCTCAAGAATTTTAAAATATGATCTTTAAGTATATTTAAAAATTCCAAAAATCAAATTTTGTGTAACTGTATTATTAAAGAAAAAAGGGGTGAGCATGCTTGATGAATCACACTGTATGTATACATAATATATACTACAATATATTATTAGTTATATATTAGTTAAGTGTTATCATCGCATTGAGTGAGAATTTGTACGTATTTACAGTAAACATTGACGTCATCACATGGTTTTACAGTATAATATATAAAAATGTATTATATATGTTTATATACACTTACCTAATATTTAGGATATATTATAAGATCCAAGTTGGCCCGAGAAAAATGACAGGATTTTTTTATTGTTTTTTTTTCAAATATAGAACGAGTTACAGTCAGTCAAAGCAGACGTTTAATTATTGGCCGACCGCCTATAAATGAAGACATTGATAAACGTATTTCTCTATACCCATGTACATAAGAAAACATATTATAAGGTGAGAAGGTGGAGGGCACAAAAAAATCGTTAGGCACAATATAATAATATACCATTACATAAAGCGGCGAGGGGGATTTTTTTTTATGACACGTGGACGAGATCCTCGAAAGAGATAGACTTATTTTATAGTCTTTATTCGATATTTTTTTTCTATTCTCATTTACAATGGGGCTACACGTGTGGGCAAGACAAGTACATAACTGCACGCAAACACAGAAATCGATAGACACGAGCTTAAAAGAACTAACAAAATAAAATTCCGTGTTCCTTTCCCCGCCACTACTCGATACTATTCACTCCATCGAACTATATATAGACTAAATAATATTATATAATTTTTTTATAATTATTTAAAGGACCCGTCACAAAAACACTGAGAAATTAACGATGTCTTATTTATTTATTTATTTATTTTGTTTTTATAGGGAGTATGCTGGCCAAAAGAAATTGGACAACGTCAATTTCACGTATACTCACATGCAGTTGAACAACACCTGACAACTACAAGATAGACCACCAGTACCTGCCCAAGTCTAGATAACGCGCGACACGACAAAAATAACCTACCAAAGCCCTATAATGGAAAAAAATTAATTTAAGTCAATTTAAATTTGAAAAAAAATTATTATTGAATAATTATTACTAGCTTAAAGCTTCTTAAGCTATTGTACAAAGCAGTAACTATTTCCTTGTTCGCCTGTAGTGTTTAAAAAACATATTCATCATATTTATATTATATACATAGTGTACCTAATTCCTAACTTTATTCCCTAAGCTTTTAAACTAATACCTAAATAATCATCCTATGCTTGTTTAGTGGGTAGTGTAAGATCTTAAGACTCATCAAATCTGTGATTGTTTCTCATGTATTTTTTTTTATCCTAAAAAAATTGCCTATTCTCATATAGGCGTGGTTCAGATGTTAGCAATAATAATTACTAATGACATACAAAAAAAATAAATAAATAAATAAATAAAAATGTAAGCGCGCTCATATACATTCACTAAATACATATCAATAATGCTTTGAAAGGGAATTAACGTTAAACATTGTAAATAATTATATAAAAGACTAAGTCTGTTGGGATGGTCAGACGCCAACGGACTTCGTGAGGTCGATCAAAGCGGATCACGCGGTCCGCATACGCTTCGGCTGGTCCGCGGAGGCGTCCAAGCCGAAAACGGTTTAGTCAAAAAAAAAATAAAAATAAAAATATATAAAACAAATTATTATATATAATAATAATTATTATTATTATTATTATTATTATTATTATTATTATTATTATACAAAATGAATGAATTCTGCAAAACTATTTTTTATACAATTTAGTCTTTTATTTCTTGCCATTATATACAAGTAGATTTTGTTTCAAACAAATTTACAGGGTGCAGCTTGTTTAGCAGCTCATGGGAGTTATTCTAGGTAGGTACGAGGATTATTTTCGTTGTTGCGTATTCTCGTCTTTTTTTTCAAAAAAAATTAGGATATTTCTGAGAACACGTAAGCTAATTATTTTATTAACAATAATCGCCTACATAATATTTGATAATTAATTTAAAATGACAATCTTTTTTTAAGTTTTTAATTTTTTAAGAGACAATAATTTTTCAACGTTTTTGCTCTCGGAGATTTTTTTTTTTATGTAATATTAATAATATACAACTGAAAAAGACCAAAGATTACGTTCTATTATAGTTTATTGTCATTTTATTTTTAGACAACTACCAATGAGTAATATTGAAAAAAAATATTCTTTTTTCCTGCGTTTCAGTGTACATAATAATATGGTATAATATGTATGTTTTCAGTGTATTATATTGAAATTATGATTATGATTATTATTATTATTTTTAAGCAGTTAGATGTATAATTAATGAATTAAATAATTATAGTTATTAATTTATATATATATAAAAAAATAATAATAATAATACCATTTGAAATACTTAAAATTATAAGTATTTCGTTTTACTTTTTTATTTTAAGTCTGTGATCGCTCGCCGTGGTAATTATTTCAGATCTGTTAAACGTAAGACGAACAGTGTTCATGGGCTAGCAAAAGACGTTGATGTATTATTTATTTTTATTGTAAAAAAAATTTACTGATACATTCCAATAAGGACTATTATTGAATAAATAACGCATTCCAAAAACAAATGATTAATTATTTAAAAGTAATGTCATTTTACTATTATTATGTTTTACCGACGTCTTTTGCGAAAAAAAAATTATAATATCCGTCCAAATTATAAAATTCTTTTTTTTTTCTAATTATTTCGTTATTGTAATAATAATAATTATTATTATTAGGTATCATCATTATTATTATTATTAATTATTAGAATTTAATTACCATCATTACGATCATTGCGGATTTTGTAGATTTATTCGAAGATAAATTATTACATTTTAAGCTCAAACAGATTTTCTTTTGTTGAAATTTTTTTTGATTTGATAAAATAAAATAGCCTTTCTTAATTGCAACACATACATATCATTATATACATTTTAACGCTGTATAGCCTGTGTATTTTTTTTAATGTGATCAACAGTAGCCTTATAATCTTATTTAAATTATATATTAACCGTTAGTGGATATATAAGTGTTAAATGGAAGAAAATGATAAACAAATTATTGTACTTGAATGTAAACATACGTTTGTATGTGAATAATTTTTTTTGTGATTTTGGTCACCTTATTCGGGTGAATGCGATACAAAAATGTATAATCGAAACATATCAATAACTGTGCCCCCCATAAAAAAATTGATTAAATTATAATATATTAAATTAAATGTTGTTAAATAAATAACGAGATAATAATAATCACGATTATGTTTGTATTAATTGTAACTTGAAAAAGAAAAGAATTCATAAAGAAAAAGTTATTGTACATTTTTATCGATTTTTCATAAGTTTGTTTAGATACTTGTGTAGTGAAATTTAGTTGTTACTGTGCGTAATTTTGAATAATATAAACGTTTGTTAAACGGAATTTTTATTGTTACTTTTACCGAACATCGTAATATGTTTTAGCTTGCGTTATTTATGGTGTTTATATAAAAATAGGTATTTAATTACATTGTAGTGGTATTATTAAAACAATTATTATTATTATTATTATTATTATTATTATTATATAGACGATATTATTTAAACATGTGAAAAAAAACCTAAAAAATAGGAATTGTATTAACAATACGATGCATTCGAAAAAAAATAAAAATAAAAGTAGTGAATTGATTGGGAACTGTGTTTTAAGTTTTTTGAAACGACTCGTATTCACAATCGTGTTATTTTATTATAATTGTTTATTATATACCTATTATTTTATTGTATTTATTATAATATCATTAATAATAATAACTATTAGAATTACTTTTATAATGTATCACCATTTCACACCAAAAAACCATATGAAACTGTTGTTGAGTAACACTATGATTAACAGACGGCATTGCACCGATGCTGATCAAAATAGTTGAGACTTGGGTACTTAGAACTAGTGATATGACAATTTTAAGTGTGACGTTCGAATTACAACTGTCCGAACAATGTAAGTAATGTATAATGTATCATAATTGTTTTTCGTAGTATTCACTTTCAACATTTTAACATAACAATCACAAATCAAAAAATATTAAATACCACCATTTAAAAAAATTAAATAGGTAATTAAAAGATAAATAATTTTTTTTTTATTGAGTTAAGACTTCAACATCTATGGCCATTAGCCTGAAGGTTATTCAGTAGGTCATTTTAACTGTTGTGGGAAGGGGGGTTGTACGGTGGATTAGAACACGTACATAATATATGGCTAAGATTTGTCACTAAAACCCTATAGTGGTCGCCCATCCAAAAACTATAGTGACACCAGCTAATGCTTGATCTCAGAACACGATTTGTGACTGAGGCCAAACATCAGGTCATAGATAGATAAATAACTGCAATGGTAATAAATTGTGGTGCAAAAAGAACAAAATCAAAATCTGCCTGGAGTACCTGCTGTAGAAACCTACTGGATATAGATATAGCTATAGAAGTTTATGCCTAGTCCGCCGACACCAATTTTTAATGGTTTTAAAAAAAAACCCAATTCGCCGACAAATGATATTGGCGACAAGCTTTGTTGCATTGCAATAAAAATATTATATAGGTACTATCATAATCTGTTAATTTATTTTATCGCAAGTATAAGGACTGCATGTGCCTATCGGCTAATATATATTTATCAGCAAAGTTATGATATCTGTAAACTTATTTAATGGTGAGTATAAGATAGTATTATAGGTAGGTACCTAATTATTCTTGTTACTCTTTCACGTGAAAACTACCGAATGGATTTTATTGAAACTTTACAATAATATACCTCAGTGGCGGCTTGAGTCTTCATAACTCAAGGAGCAAGTTTATAAGCAACCCATCCACCCACCCACCAACTACATTTACTAGGGCCAATGTAATATTTTTAGGTTCTTCTTTAGTTAAATTTTTCATTAACTTTTACAATTTATGATATAGATACACTTATTTTTTACTTGAATGATCAACCTTCTGTTATGAATAATAAAAAAACCTGTTAACCTTAAAACAGTTTGTCTCCCGATTTTCGGGGCAGGAGCAGTCCCTCCTAGTGTTCTTATAACAAGCCGTCCCTAATATACCTTATTATACATCAGAATCATAAATAAGCTACAATTTATAAAGATGGCTACAACCTATTTGCGCCCCAGAGTAGTACATTTGCGCCCCGAGGGATATGGACAGTTGCGCCCGAAAGATAAGGTACTACCTGCCGATTTATAGCCCAATGCGCCCATTTCGTATGCAACGTTGCCGTTGTGATTCATATTATTATAGATTATATTTATCTTGATAAATAACTTAAATTATTTAGATTACCTAGTAGATTATATTATAATATAATATATTATATTATTATATTTTTCCGAAATTTTTTTTTTTTTAATTTGAAATATTTATTTTATTTGTATAATTTTATGTGAGATGAATTATTACTACAGTAAATAATAATAAAATAAATAATAACTGCACAATTAGTAGATTATATTATCTCGAGTTTCGCTCAACCACTAAGATGAAAAACAAAAACTCGACTACTCGCTTATGAGTCGTTAATGCCCACTGATCACAACAACTACATGTATAGGGTGAAAATGGTGAAGTTGAAATTTCGAAAATGTTTCCAAAATATGCAAATTAAGCACAATAACTTAAAAATAAGCGGTTTCCGGAAAAATGTATGAATTATGCAAAATATGCACATTCAAATTTTAGATTTGGTATGAATTTAATTCGCACTCTGCCACATTTTACAATAAATAAAAAAAGTATGCAAATGCTATAAGTCCCGAACCTTGGTCATAAGGTTTTTTCCCCCGTCACTTACCTTTATGTGAGAGCCTTAGTTACGCTTTAGTACCTACACGGCTGTATATATATTACATTATTTATTACACTATAGTGTAGTAGTATAATATAATCACACAATTTTTTAGCAAATACTGCACACTATTATAGAATAATATTGTTTGATAACATATTAATGCCGAGCAAAGAGAGAATATTATATTCACGATTAAAGTGTCCATTTTTCTTATTACTTCTGTAAATTTCAAAGCCTAATTTTGAAATTTGTTCATGTCTCGACACTTCTAGAGTTTTATATTAAGTTATAGTTTAACCGTTAAGACTAAAAACAATATTGTGAGGTGCCGGACAAAAAAATGGACTCTCGACAGTAGTGTATCTAAATGGCCTATACGCAGAGTTCCGTGTTCTGAATTGTATAGATTTAAACACTCCGAATAATATTGTGTTTCGGAATCTGAAATAAAAAATGTATCGTGTCATCCAAAGAATTCAAAAACTCGAAAACTGATAACAACATATTATATTATAATATCTATCATCTATGGCAAAAGCCGATCGTCGTCACTCGTCGGAGACGATACACAATTCTAATAATCTCATTGAACAAAAGAGAAATGTGTAAAACAACAATAAACATTTGCTCACATATTTTGTTCTACTCAAGACATTTTTATAAAAAAACTCGATTTTTTCAGTTCGGGTTAAGATGAAGAAAGAAGTACCTCGATATGGCGTCTGCACTCGAGATATGGCCTTGCAGCTATATATTACCCAAAGAGTCGATGTAAACGTAAGTTTGACTAC